TCTCTCCGGATCGACCTTCTTCCCCTCCTCATAGTTCTTCGGCATCTTCGCCTTCCTCATCCTCTTCTTTTTCTTTTCCTCAGGCTCCTTCGGCGCTGGCCTTTTGTTGCTCGCCGGTTGCGTAGGTACAGGCTTTGATGCCACACCTGCGTTTTCGAGCGCTGCAGCGTCGATACCCGCGATGAGGCGGTTTACTGGTGTAAGAGTATCTAGCTGCGATTCGGTGATCTTGGAGGGATCGGCCGTGGCGTGGGCGGCGATGAAGCCGGCTGTGGCAGCGCGGTCGGAGGGATCCACTTCCAAGAGCGCACTGAAAATATCACCTGCTTGCTCTAGGTGGGCAGGGTTCTGAGACTCGAGCAGCGCGGCGCCGGCAGCCTTCATCAGGGCCATGGGAGGTGTTTTTGTTTTATTGCGCCAATACGAAGCTGCTTTACCGAGCTCAATCCTGGTGGCTGTTGTACGCCCTTGACGAGCATAGAGCGAGGTGGTGATTGCGACCAAACCAGGAGCAAAACGTATATCTTGGTCCACTGGAGAGTTGGACTCTTCTAGCCGCTTTATAAACGCTTCGATGACGGCAATTGCGGCATTTGTGTTGTCCGCGAGGAGGTATAATTGAGCTACCGTCAGGACAAGACCGATGTCGCGTGGTCTCTTTTCCAGTAATGGAATGACCGACTTCAAAGCGTGCTTCTCCTCGGCACCCTTGGCATGGGCCGCAACGTTGACTACAGAGAGAGAGGTTCGGTTTCCAGATGTGGATTCTGATGAGTCGGCAGCCAATAAAGTCTTAGTTGAACGTGCGACGCCAGCATGCTTATTGGAAAGCAACCCCATCACATAAGCGTTTGACCGAATGATAGCCGACTGGTATGTGAACGGTCTGTCGTTGGGTGGTAGCTTGAAGGAGTCGAATTTTCGTGATGCAAGGTACGGATTGCTGGCTTGCCCTGAGTGGGCAAGATCGTTGACGCTGGCGATATATCTTGTAGACAGGTCTGGAATGCTGTAGTATGGCAAGTCAATATCAGCTTCCAAAAACTCCAATAGCTGCACGGAACACCCACTCTTTCACTGAAAGCTCTTCCTGGAGTTTCTCGGCTTCCTCTGTCCGGCCTTGTCTACTCAAAACATAGATTTGTTGCACCACAATTGGCATGACTTCAGACTTCTTCTCGGCTTCCGTCAACTCGTCCGAGGCATTACACAAGTCTTTCGCGCGCTTCAACAACACCTCACTCTGTCCTAATTCGCCCCGAGCGATGCTACCACAAGCAGCATTGTACGCCGTTTCAAACGCCTCCAAGTCCTCCCTACCGGGCGTTTTTCTCTTCACCAGGCTGTCTTGCCCCTGCCACTGTAATTGCGCATCTACAGCCAAGCTGTTGATCTTCAAATCATTGTAGTTGTCCTCGCCCTCAGCGCCCGGGCTTTCCAGCTGCTGGTATAGCTCCGCGGCCTTGGAAAAGTTCTCTGCGCGGTAGGCCGTCTGCGCAAGAACATGCCGTATCCCTCTGCCGTCCGGGCTATCTGCAATTCTTTCCGCTTCTTCCAATCTGCCGCTCTTGTAGAGTGCGTATGCGTACTCGAGGCGCGCCTTTTGCTTCAGCTTGTCCCCAACATTATCAAATGCGTGCAGCGCGTCGTCGAAGCGGTCGAGCTTCAAGAGAGCTACCACTCTAATGTGTTGAGCTTCGAGGTCGGTCTTGGACTTGGATAATGCGTTGTTGGCCGCTTTGAGTATCTCTTCGTGGTCGTCGAGGTGAGTTTGGGCGAGGAGAGAGGAGAGGTTGCCGGCGACTGCGGCGGCCATTGCGGGCGATTTGTGAGATGGAGGGGCAGAGCTACGAACTACCTTGAGGCCATGCGAGGAACGTCTTCTGGGAATCGTGTCGTATCGGCGGAGTATCGCCGGCGGGCTAGGTGCGAATCGCCGTGTGGCTCGTGAGTGTTGGTGGGGGTTGGGGAGTTTGCACGTCTGGCGTTCGCTAAGGAAGTTCAAGGTCAAAGCCAAGGCTTGTTGGTCTCGATAATATGCGAAAACTGTACAGGATTTCCGAGCAGCTTTCGCACCCTCTACTATGCATTGTAACTCTCTAGGTATAAATGCTGTTTTCGGGCATGCGGTTCAGGATACTCGTTGTTTCAATTGGCAAGTGGCATTCAGAGGGACTATTCCCATTGGCAAACTTCTTGTACCTGTTTAGCTTCAGGAGCAATCTTCCAATCATAAGTGAGTGTCCTCACTCTGCTAGAAAAGCTACAAGCGCTATTTGCGCTGCGACCGAAGTATATATCCAACGCAAAATTGAACAGATAACTAGCAGCCTGAGATAGAAAAGAAGGCGCTGCGGGTGTCAGAAGCAAGAAGTCATCAGCCACAGCGGAGCTCGCGCGCCACAAGAGCTGCCAGTTTTGCCGATATCTTTCCGGCGGTCCTCGAAATTCCCGTTACCTTCGTGCTCCGAGACTGGGCAATTCACTGGAATTTGCTCAACACCATATGATTCAACAGCTCTTAAGATGGGCCAGGATCATACCGAACAGGCTTCTGCTGCCTCAATGGACACCAACAACCCCCCAGCTGCTTCCACTGGCGGCGACGATTCCTCGGCGCGGGGCGGGAAGCGCAAGTGGCAGAACCACAGGTTACAGCACGGTAGCAGAGGTGGTAGAGGAGGTAAGAGAAAGGATATTGGTAGAGGAGAGTATTTGTAAGTGTTCCACTCCCTCCTTGTTGCCTTCAACTAATTAATAAAGCGCCTCTCAACCAGACAAACGCGCGCGTAACGAAAGGGAACAAGCCAAACGTCGCAAGCTAGAGGACGAGGGCAAGGAGACCGAATCCGTCCTTCCAAAGGCGTTCTCGCAGGAAGAAATAGCTGCTGAAGATCGGAGGCCAAAGCGCAAGGTCGTGGTTCTCATGGGATATTCTGGTAGTGGATACAAGGGCATGCAAATGTAGGCCCTCTACTCGCAATGGGTTAGCATCATTGTGCTAACAATTTCCAGAAACACCACTGAAAGGACTATTGAAGGTGATCTCTTCACTGCCTTTGTGAAAGCCGGAGCTATATCGAAAGCCAACGCCGACGACCCCAAGAAATCCGCCCTCGTTCGATGCGCCCGAACCGATAAGGGTGTACACGCTGCTGGGAATGTTATCTCTCTCAAGCTCATTGTCGAGGACGAGGATATAGTCCAGAAGATCAACAGTCATCTCTCCCCGCAGATCCGGGTCTGGGGCATCGAGCGGACGACGGGCAGCTTTAGTGCCTATCAGGCTTGCGATTCTCGTTGGTACGAGTATCTTTTGCCGACATACTGTCTCGTTCCACCCCATCCCAATAGCTTCCTCGGAAAGAAGCTTGTGGAACTGGCAGACGAGGTGGGCGATCGTGAGGGATACGAGGACAGACAAAAGGAGGCTGCAGGGTTCTGGGACGAAGTCGACAGAACTCAGATCAAGCCAGCGCTTGCCGAACTGGACCCCCGTATCAGGGAACTGGTGGAGAAGGCACTGTATGAAACGGAGACCGACCCAGAAGCACCCAACGAACAGGCGAACGGAGCAGTCGCTGAGAACGCTGCTGATCTCTCTAAGCCTGTGCGCGTGACGGAGCCAAAGGAGGCTGCGTCAGCATCGATCACCGGGGAAGAGAAATCAGAGGAGGCTGCGATAATTATTCAAGCTCCACCGGCTGTGGCTGATCCTACTGCGGACGAGATCCAACCTGTCGCAGATTCGGCAGAAGTAATAGACCAGTCAAGGAATATCCGTGTGGAGGACATTCCCGCGGAGACCGAAAAGCAGGATTCCTCGAAACTCTCCCTGGAAGATAAGAGAGCTCTCGACACCGCCATCAAACAGATCAAGCAAATCTATCTCGACGCTAAGAAAGCCTACCGCGCTCCTCGCGCCCGTCTCGACCGCTTGCAGGACGCGCTCAATAAGTATGTCGGCACTCGCAACTACCACAACTACACTGTCAGCAAGAAGTTCACCGATCCCTCCGCCAAACGCCACATCAAGTCCTTCAAGATGGCCGAAGACCCCATCGTCATAAACGATACGGAATGGATCAGCCTGAAGGTGCATGGCCAGAGCTTCATGATGCACCAGATCAGGAAGATGGTTGGCATGGCAGCCTTGGTAGTGCGCTGCGGATGCCCTACCGAGAGGATCGTCGAAACGTTTGGTAACGTGAGCTTGGGTGTTCCGAAGGCGCCCGGTCTTGGACTGCTGCTCGAGCGCCCGGTGTTTGACAGCTACAACGAGAAGGCGGCGAGCAAGTTCGAAAAGGAGCCCATCGAGTTCACCAAGTTCGAGAAAGAGATGGAGGAATTCAAGCAGAGGGAAATCTACGAGCGCATCTTCCGCGAGGAGGAACGGGATCACCAGTATGTTTGAAGCACTTTACGCCAGGCTGCGCAACTCGGACACTAACTCTGTCATTAGGTTCAACGCGTTCTTCTCCCACATCGATGGCTACAAGGAACATTTCTTCCTTTACCTGACCTCCAAGGGCATCAAGGCTGCGATGGAGCCGAAGGAGAAGGGCATGGGGAAGGCAATGGAGTATGGCTCCGACTCCGATGGTGAGGCTGGTGACGGATAGAAGGATCAAGATTCTTGAATTCACAGAAGATGTGGCTAGCCATGGGTAGCTGGCTTGGAAGTGCGAGAAGGGCTACCTACCCAACGGGATCTCTGAGCGGGATTTGATGTGGAGTCCACATCTGAAATTACCATCCCAATGGCATTGCGCCATGATAGGCGACTGCAAAACGCTACGAACAGGCGACTACAGAAAGCGTTCCATGCATCACATGTCAAAGATGATTCCTCGTTCTTCCCGGGTGCAGTTTCTTAGCCAAAGTCGTTTCGGTCTGTCCGCCAACAGTCCGAGACAGCCCCGGAGCGCAAAAGAGACCCACTCCAAGGATTTCCCTCGGTCAGCGATGATCACCGCTTTGACAATCAAAAAGGCAAAAAATACTGCCAGCGAGGTTCGAACTCGCGACCGTTCGCGTCCACATGAGATGTGAGGCGAAAATCATACCACTAGACCATAGCAGCGATGCTATTGGCTACTATTAATAGCAACCATGTGAACGTTTCTGCTTGCTCATTATATAAGCAGATACTTTTTCACAACAAAGTAAGACTTAGACGTCAGACCAAAGTCTCGCTGATAACCAAAATCAGAGCCGGATGTTGTATGCTGCAACGTTTCAGTACTGGCGCAAGCTGTTTTCATACCACAAGCCGTGAGACACGCAAGTAACATCATCTTCGGCGGACGGCACAGGGTATTCCTCGGGCGTTGAAATGGCGAAGCAATCAAAGCAGCAACTTGAGCTTGCCAATTTTCGAGACATGAAAGTGAAGCTTACATAAATATCTTGTAGAGCATATTTGCAGAGTCTGAGAATAGAGGCTGGTCCAAAAGTAACATGAACTGCCAGTACTGATAACACGTTATGCAACTTTCAAGCTTCGTTGAGAGGTTCAACGGAGAGTACAATCAAGGGAAACCCCCAGTCTCTCTCACAACGCATTGCCACTATAATTTAGATTCTGACATATCAGGGGAATTTGATTGTTGAAGCTGATAAATCGATTCCGTAACGAATGCAATCTCAGATAATTCCGATCGTTATGACTTCGCCAAACTGGTCAAATACATCGGAGAAACTTCCTTGGCCCTCCATTCCGATCCTATTATAACGGTTTTGGAAGGATTCGACAGATTGTAGGACGAGGATCCCTGAACGTTTTCCGTACCTTGATGATTCGAGTTTGAGCCTACGAGTATGCAAGGCATCAAGCTGTCGTGTGGGATTTGCTCCGGGCCGTCTTCAACCAGATTTTAATCCGGGACGGACCTGAATGCTTGGTAGTGTCCATGGCCCGTCGCCACCGAAAGCTTGAAATCTTGATCATTTTCTGAAATTTAGCGGTAAATTATCCCTAGCAGTGACTCCTTCTACCATGATGCATCCGCTCTCGACGATTCCGAAGTCGAAATCATTGCTAGTCGTACCATTTGTACAATCGAATTGGAACTTGAGCCGGCGATCTTCACTGAAGCCATGGAAGTTGGGGCCGACGACCGATTGCATATATCTTCTGGTTGGCTGGGATCCGTGAATGCGCGCCGGCGTTTGGATGGAATCTGAAGCTCGCACATGAGAACAGGGCCATGATTTGTGGATGCCACAGAATCGGAGATCCGGACAAAAGCGTAGTTTGCGGGGGACCTCCACGGCTGCAATGCGGTACGCCAAGGCTGAACTTAATGCGAGACCTTCTCTCGCTGAGATCTGGATAACAGTGTAGTCTTTTGAGTCGGTCCTACAGTCTTCATGTAGGCATACTAATGACGATGAATGCCATGCCCGGGGGCTATTCAAAGACCCTCAGATCTAAGTCTTCCGGTTCAAAGGGTAGATTTTGTTTCAGTACAATGGTGAATAAGACTTCGGCGACAATGCATCAGCATGTGCGTGGGCGAGGAGAACCCAATAGTCATCATCCTCAAGACCAAAACATCAACGACAGCACCAATGACAAAACGCCTTTTGACGCCGCTCCCAAGGTATCAATCCCGTCTGTCCCATCTAGTCTGCCGTTCCAGAACGCCAGTTCTATCATCACGGGCTTCAAGGCCTTCGAAAGGCATCTTAGACGCGCCTCTTCAACTGGCAGGCCTCGCAGTTCTGGCACTCAAAGGAGGTGATGTTGCTGCCCCAGTTGACATCCTCGTACCATCTCAGGTTGTTGACGCCAGGGGGTTCGATGAAGAGGTCGCCCTCCTGTGTGCAGCTGTTGGCGGAGCTGATTTGAAATGTCAGTGTGATTCGGGGTGAATGGATCGTTGGTAGGGCTTACGTAGTAATACGGCAGTAACCACCGTTGCCGGGAGAGAATGAGCCGACATTGTGGTAGCTGGACAAGGCGTTAGCATATACTACTGTCATGTGGTTGATCCGTTCGGCTTACAAAGGCGCGTCGAGAGTGGTGCACTGGTCGAAGTCGACGACCTTCATGCCACAAGTGCCGTAAAACTCCTCGCCAGTGCAGACGAAGATCCTGTCGGCTTCAGTCGCATTGCTGGCGAGTCTCTGCTGGATCTCGACACGGGTGATGGGCTGGAAGCCATCGGGAAGGCCAACGTCAACGTTGACTGTGGGGAAAGCGGAGACAGCGGACAAGAAGGAAAGGCCGGAAAGGGCGGCGGCAGCGAAGGACTTCATGATTAACGACAGGTGGATTGAAGGATTGGAATAAAGAGAGGATTAGAACGATAGATTAAGATAGAGACAGACGGTGTTCCGTTGGAAGTGTTTGTTGGATGAGAAGATCAAAGTGTTGTTGCAGCAGACGTCCCCGGAAGTCCCTCCTTCCCACAGGTTTATAAGTACTCCATCCAGCCGTCACAAGTCCAACCGAGCCATCAGGCAAGACCCTCCTTTCGGGCGCTAAGCTACTCCACACTGCGGCCACGGCAGAGACAGACGAAGCCCAGCGCAGCGCTGACAGCACGTCGTGACAGCAACCGACCCTGTTCCGACGGCCGCTTGCACCAGCTTCAGGCTCCGACAGCCCTACATTTCAGTGACGCGGATCCGGCTTTTCTCCTCTCATGCCTCAGCCGCCCTGCACGACCCGCTTGGACGCCGGGAAGAAACAAGCAGCAGGAAGAGGGCCGAGCCAGCGGCGAGGACGTTGCGGATTTGCACGGTCTGTCTTCATGAGGACTTGAGGGTAAGGCCACCTGAGAGGCCTTGAATTTCAGGAGAGTCGATCATGTCATGTCATAGTGGCGACGCGGAGCCAGGCACAGCAAGCCACTGAAGATCGTGTCTTGGACTGCTCGAAGCGAGCAAAGGTATATGTCTCGGCGTGGGAGAAGTTCGTTGCGAGGGCAAAGGGGCAGAAAGTGGGTTCAGTGTCTCTACAAAGTAGAGATGGACGTTCAAGGTGTCGTTAGGTGGTCTTGCGCTATGATCAGGAAGCTAAGCCACTTTGGGATAGTTAGCTGGGTTCGGCTTGCCTCAACGTCCTTGAAACACGCACGCCTGGTCTACAAGTACCTACTACCTCGGACACGTACATAACATGAGTTGTTCGGAACGCCGCCCAACACATGGACTACCAATGACCATGAGCAGAAGAGACCTCCAAGGAGATATTCGGACCATAGGTAGCTTCTCCTTTCCGAGACTGGAGTGACCTGCGACGAAACCCGTACCAAGAACGCCAGACACCAGAGTCCATAGCAACGCCCTCAAACCCAAGCCACAACGATGCAGTTTCCGAAGAACAAATTCCTCGCAAGTCAAGACGCCTCCATGTACCACAACGTCATCTCACGCCATCAGCCATGGGGATAGTTGACCTCAGCGAACTTGTCTACCCCCCTCATGACCTCCCTCACAATCTCCATACTCTCTGCGCGATTGCTTGCCTCAAAGTCATACCTCTTCGTCTCCGTTTCCTTGAACACAATTACCCTGAACGTCTTCGGATGCTTGCTACTTACCTTGGCACCTACCACACTGCTGAAATGAAACGTCGCGGTCTTGCCTGTGCTTGGCGCTTTGCTTTTCCCGCCTCCACCTGCAGCAATTGTTGTGTCCGCGGGCATAATATGCATGTACTCGCCGTCCAAGGCCAGAATGCGGGTTGAGGAGGGAGTAAACGACATAGGTTGTTTGCGCGTCACGATGTAACGCTTATATGAGGCGTTGGTCGTAGTCAGAGACAGGAGTGCATCTTGCTTGGCGGCCAATTGCTGCAACAGTCCAGTGCTAGCAGCAGCATGCTTCCCCTTCTTCTTCGGGGTCCCCCCTGTGCTGATGAGGAGAGGCGCATTGGGCGAAGAGCTACCGGGAGAGCCAGAAAGACCAATAGCTCCATCTCCGACGAATCGGCGCCGCGTGAGATTGAGGTCTGTGTGTGCTCCGAGGGCTTCGACTGTGCGGTCGGCAGGGGCCACTGTAGAAGTACCGCTTACTTTTAGGTTGTACAGCGCCTTGTCGACCTGGAGATCGCGACAGACGCGCTCAAATACTTCGGCAAGATAGGTATCCGTCGTGACTTCAAGGCGAGACGTGCGTGACATGCCGTCGTCGGAGATGAAACGGATAGTCAGCGTTCTTGGAGCACCTGTTCGAGGCGTTGAATGGGATACAGTCACAGTCGGAGCGTCGAGTAGATTCGTACTATCTTTACGAATAGCACTTGGCGCGAATGATGGTCCGGTAATTGGATTCTCGAAACGACCAAGAGTTGCTGAAGGAATTGGCTGAAGATGCTGGAATGAGGCATTGGAGGAGTTCTGCGTGGGTATTTTCTGCAAGTCACTCGAGCCCCCACTTTGAGTATCCACAGCGTCCTTGCTGTACTGCGGTGTGGATTTTTCGTTTTCTGAGAACTCCGCTGGCGATGCTTCGACGAGAGCAAACTCGTCCCAAGGCCTGTCCCTCGCTCTAGGTCTTTGGGGTTTGTTGTTGGTTGAAGTGAATTGAGTGATTGGTTGGGTACGGCCAAACGCAGGGAACTCGTAATCAACTTCATCGTCCTCCCAGATACGCAATACCCATTTGTTGACATTTTTCTTCTCATCCGGAATTGGCGGCTCGAGACCTTCTTCACAATAGCGCCAGAGGGCAAGGCCAACCGCTTCGGCTACGGTCACAGTCCTGCCTTCGTCTGCTGATCGCCTCAGTAACACTTCAAACGCCTTGTTCGGCTTGTTCGAGAATGGCGCATATATTTTGAGATATAGCGGGTTTGGATCGCCTTTGCCAGATAAGGTTGCGAAGCGTTGGAAAGGGTCCGCTGGCTTTTTGTCCTTTGCTTTCAAGGCCTGCGTCAACGCGCTCACTGGTTGGACCATGCTGATTGGTCGGGGCGGTGGTAGAGAGGGTAGAGCCGCAGCACCTTGCCTCATTCGCTTGCTCGGCGAATTGCCTTGAGGTACAGCAAGTGAAGGTATGCTTGCCATAGGTTTGGTCGGCGGCGTTGAGTCCAGAGGATCGGCACTCTCAGCAAGCAAAGAATTAGAACCC